CCGCTATACCCTGCTCGTATTGAAGACGAGCAGTTCTGAGATGTTGTTTACATTTATTTCTATTCCCTCGATAACTATCATAGGTACTGGCTGATGGAGCTGCTTGGTAGGTTCGCCAGCATCTAGACCGTTTCTTGAGTAGGTACTTGCCTGTGGTATCTATCCATGGAGGCTGTGCCCTTAACCCACTTTTCCTAATGAGTGGAATATATGGAACGGAAACCTTCGTAAGGTATGCCTTAAATTTATCCCAGGCTAACTGGACAGAGTCAGCCATCGAGATCTCACAGTTCAGAACTGAAGCCTTAGTTCGCATTGCACTAAAGTCCGCCCGCCAAATATTCGAAAGTAATTCAACAGCGATCACTTGGTGCCTTGAAAGAGCACATCGAAAAGATATGCATGCGTGATCGCTGGACCCTAGAGGTGTACCGCGTGAAACATCAGTCACGAAGTCCAGGGACTTAGCGAAAACCAAATCCAAAGTAGATGATATTTGGTTGTTCATATACCTAGTGGGAAAATCAACGAACTGGTGCAAAGGCACTTGGAGAGTCAGTTCAAGGAAGTCTGCACCGAATGTTCCTAATGCCGAATTGCAAGAAAGATCGGCCCAACAGACTTTCGGGAGGTCGAAATCCCCTAGAACTATACACTTAATCGCAGACTGAGTGCGAATAAAGTCAAGTATCCCCCTGGAGGAACTTCCAGGACTTCTGTATATCACCATAACTGTAAACTGGGTAGTGGAAGTGCACAAAACAGCCGATAGGGCTTCAACAGTCTGGTCCGACGACTGGAATGTGCAAGTCCTTAACACATCTAAGTTACAGCTCACATACAGTACAATGCCTCCGTCTTGGCGATCAACGGAGCGATCAGTTCTAAGCAGCGCGTAGCCAGGTAAATATACCTCACCGTCCGTGAGGTCTTCGTCTGGCAAGCGTTTTCCCTACAAAAAGCCACAAATGTCTGTTTAACAACACTGCGACGTGGCGGATGTGACTCGCCACTCAATAAAGTCACCGCCCCTAACATTGGCAAGTTGACCGACACCACATTTACAAGTTCTGTGTATACATCGGCTCTCGCACGAACACGCCTACATATCTAATTAGTGACATACCATTATTCTTAAGTATTTTTCACCCGTTTCCTCATCCTTCGCTCACTGGCTTATATTGCTTACGGCACCTCATCGGACTAGTTCCTCATCAACATACCATATAAGTGATCTGATTACTATCTTTACCTCTCGCATTCTGTGTACATAGACTACATACAACATTTGAGCTCTATGGGCCCACACTACTGTTTCCAACTGCACTACTCCCACTGTTGGTGCTGCTTATTCCGCTATCATGTACAATAATGCAATATGCTGATCATGCCCAAAAGGCGTGTCTCGCTTTGTCGAGAATAAAATATTTATTTATTTATTTATTTGATATCCGGCGACAACCACGTTTCAGTGAAAGCAAGTGTGTTGGGACGAAATTTGTCTACAAGTAGACCCACCTCGTGCACCTTGTTCCTTATGCTACACATGTTGCTAAGTACTACCTCAAGGAAGTCGGAACGACCATCTCTGGGTCGTGCGCCATCAGGATTGGTTTTGATAGGGCGGAAAGTAACTTCCGGCCTACCACCTGCAAACCCACCAGACGGAGACCTTGCTCAGCAGCCGCCCGTCTAGTTTTGAGGTCTTTGATAGCCTCCTTTAACTTCAATCTATCTGCCAGTGGTAGTTCCGGCTGAACGTTGACACCACTACCCTTAAGTTTAAATGCAAATCGCAGTAACGATTTGCGCTCCTCCGGGGTAGAAAGGACTACGCGAAGCGATAGGAACGTTCCCCAATCTGGTCAGCTTTCTGACGGTGACACCAGGGAAATCAGGTGGAAGCAGCTTGCTGACACACAGTTTCAGCCCCTTGATGTCATCCAAGATGCGTTCCCTTGGGAGAACGGCCGCAAATTCAGTAACGTTACGGAATATAACGCTACTATCAGTGAAAGAGTCGGCACGACGGGGAGTGTTTAACCAACGTGCCTTGGAGTCGACACCTATACCAGCTGCTTTCACCGCTGGTGGTGGGACTGTCCCTGGCTTCCCAAACGACGCCGAAGCAACGGTAGCGTAAATTTTCCGCTCTATTGCCGGCGTCTTACTGGTTACTGGGTCTTCAAGCCCCTTCGAAGTTTTACGAGCAGATCTTGTCCGCTTCTTCTTTTGGCTCACTGGAGCAGGGGCCGTTGACTTTGTCTCGCATTGAGCAGTTACCAGCATTTCGTCAGAACAGGCTGGTTCACTGGCGGCGGAGACAGTCAGCGTCTGTGGAAAGTTCTGTGTACAATCGGCAGACGACTTTATGACTGTCAAAGACGGCATCTCTTTCGATGCCGTGGCAACTGTTTCTCTGGGTTTAGCAGAGGGCTTTTGGTTTTTCCCCACCCTAGTTTTCTTCACTTTGATCGGATCATGAGGACCGCCAGCAATGCTACCTGGATTGGCCGGTAGGATGTGCGATATTATGACCGAGTGACAGACTCCAGTGGATGGATCGTCAGCAATGTTGCCGGCTATTGCTGTGTCTTCAATCGAAATATTTAGGGATTTTATAACCAAATCCATTTTCGTATCGAGCAAAGCAATAAAGGCGAGTTTAGCTATCGCCAACTCAACATCTGCCAACCTTGAAGCCAACGCTGAAAGTTTAGCATTGGTGATAGCCAGGCGCGGCGATCTTTTAGCGCAGCATTCAGCGCAGCTGAAAAGTAAGTGGACGCCTGATGATAGCATTTTGTACTGGTCAGCTTGTAGGCCGGTACAGGTTTCGTAATACCAGCGGCAGCAGACGGCACACTGCATACCACCAGATGCATCTGTTACTGGCTCTGAACAGTTAACCTGTCCGCAAGCTGCAGTAGACTCATCAAACGAGGACCCCATAGGTCCATCCGTCTCGGTGTTTAGCGAGACAGCCATGTTCATGTGGAAAACAGATTAGAATTACAACACGTATACAATAGGAAAACGACCGCAATAAAAAGGCAAAAACAGGGTGCAAAACGGGATTAAAACTGGGAACAACCAGAAAGATTGCCAGTAAGCGCCAAAGACAAACAAGCGTTCACCAAGAAACATAGTCAGTTACAATTTGTCATTCAATGGATTAGCGGCAGTGTTCCAGGACGTGGTGGGTTTTCGCCTGACAAGCGTTCTCCCTATAAAAAACCACAAATGTCCGTCTAACAACACTCCAATGTGGCGTATGTGACTCGCCACCGAACAGAGACACGGCCCATAACGTCACACTGGCAGGTCAACTAGCGTCACAATTCTAGATAGGTTCATTACACGGGAACTTCTACATCTGCATATACTGTCGTCTTTTTACTTCCTACGATAGGTTGACCTTGGCTTTACTTGTGTACCAACTCACTCTATCGACATATATCTCTTAAGCGTGCTCTTCCGTTACCTTCACACAGTTCCTTTACCTGTACATGAGCGGAATATTATCAACCTTTTTACAACTTACTAACCGGACAAATCATTCAATATCTTGCACTGATACAATTCTTCCGCAGCATGAACCACTGAGTTCAATTTACCTAACAATACCACTTCCACATATCTCTTGAGTGGAGGACTTTCGACTACGGAAGGCACATTCTCCTGCAAATACATAGCTTGAACAATCGGTCATTCTAAGCTCTTCAATCCGTTTGACCTCTCAATTGGCCGTGGTTTCCCATATTTCTAATCCATTTCACTACATACCCCGGGGGATCTGCGATTCTTTCTTCGGAACCTATCCTATCCTCCAAGACTTCAACATATTTCAACGTATATTCTTCGTGACTTTACATGGTTCTGCAGATGATCAACACATCATATCCAGAAAGAATGCTTAGTTCCTGACCTACAGATCTGGCACAGGAGAGGACCCAGGCACGCAGTGGCCACTCGCATAACACATCAGTCAGCAGAAAATTGGGACGCAACTTGACTGCGAATAACGGAGCAAAAAACGTTCAACAAAAAACATGGCCAGTTACAACTTGCCATTCAATGGATTGGCGGCAGTGTTTCAGGACGAGGTGGGTTTTTGCCTGGCAGGCGTTCTCCCTATAAAAAGCCACAAATGTCCGTTTAACAACACTGCAACGTGGCGAATGTGACTCGCCACCGAATAAAGTCACGGCCCATAACTTCACACTGCAGGCAGCTACAAATCTTACTCGAACAAACTGTGTAGACCCCCTGCAAGGGCTCAATCGCAACCACTACCCTATGGAGATCACTCATGGTCCTAATCCATGGGCTAATATAGAGGAGCGAGGGTATGACTTTGTCGATAATATAGGGGCCGAGTAGCGATATGTCCAGCAAAAGGTATCCCGAACCCACTCTGCACAACCAACCAATCGTTGGATTGCCACGCAGAGGTTTTCACGTATTTACATAGGTTGCCAACACTGGGCATATAGAACACACAAATCTACAGACCCCTAGTTGATTAGGAGGAGTGATTGTGACAGCGGTAGATTTCCCCGTGTACCCGATCACACCCAAGACTGGTCCCGCTGACCGTCCTAGGTATGCCACGCCACCAAATGGCGTGCCCGCATACGTCGTCGGCCCCCCCAACGAAACATACCAAATCAAACCCAGTGCACTTCAGACGCTTCTAACCCACCCACACAACAACTCGATCGGTGAACGCCGAGCACCTCAAACCCGTCCGCCTATACATGATACAGACAACCTACCCATATAATATCACGCGAATGGAAACCTGATCCAAACATGGACATATGAAATAAATATTCGGGCACCTACTGACAAGACTGTTACATGGTTGACCCCCAGCCCCTGGTGTTGAGAATACCATGGGGTGTGCGTTGAGACACCAAAACAGTATCCTGCCTCATGCGCGAGCCACGCCAACGTACGAGAACACCCTATATGAAAAAAATTATCAAACATAATCCATGGGTCCAACTGCGCGAGTGGCGGTCCTCGGGGGGGGGTGGGTGACCGGGGCGCGGGGGTTCAGTAGGGGGGGGGGAGGGGGGGGGGGGCGGGGGCGGGGTGGGCTGGCTGGGGGGGGGGGTGGAGGGGGAGGGCGGCGGCGGGGGGGGTATGGGGGGGGGACTGGGGTGGGCGGCGTGCGGGGGGTGGCTGTGGGGGTCACGTGCATGGGGGGCTTTCGGTGGGGGGGGTCTGCGGGCACTCCGTGGGGGCCGGGGACGTGCGGGGGGTTTGGTGTGTAGCGGTGATAAGCGGAGGAGATATTGGTAGAGGAAGCAAATTTGAAGTGTAGTTATTATTATTGGTGTGATTGATTGGTATTTAAGTGAATTCTCAGGCTGAGTCCAGGGTTAAAGCGCGAAAGCAGGTATTCGGTCTAACCCTCACACAGCTATTCTTAAGACACCATACGGGCTCCCATATAGAGCACCCAAACGAACCCAGAAGGCCCCGCACCCCGCACGCCGATGAGTGGCGGAGAGCATCGACTGCCACATAAGAAAACCGACTACGGACCCAATGCGCTCTCTACTTGTGTAAGATTGGCGCACAGCAAGAGTGGGCGCAAAACGCTAAGTCTAGGTAGCTAAGGGTCGAGACAAATTGAAAGCTGGCCCGTAAGACTCACCGCAATGGAGTACCGAGACTAGCTGATCTCAGGGGGATACAGAGTGTGGCTCCGGCACAGAGTAATCGCCGCTGAGCTTATGCGCAGAGGTCTCAAGAAATGCTACATGATGACATGGCCGCGAGTACACAACAACGTTACGCCAGCGAGTGCTGAGTTTTCACGAGGCGTCGAGTTCGAAGTGCGGATGCTCACCGAGGCGAGCTGCCGCAAAAAAACACCATATACAAAACGTGTAGCGAAGAAACTCAGTATCAAAATTTGTGTGAGTTTAACTAATCATAGTGTATACGCGACAGGAGCCGGCTATAATTCTTTGTCGCAAGATACCATCGATCCGAAAATACTAAGATTTTTGTGTAGGATAACTTCATAATCCCATGGTCACATTACGACACAGCATCCCCGTACGTTACAGGCCAAAACAGAAGGTAGCGCGAGAATCGAGTCACAGTCCAATCGACATACATAACAGCGAGCACACCAGTATTGTACATACAAGGGAACGCTCCGCGTAGTGGACGGCTCCCAATCCGAAATTCTAAATCGTAACGACAGCAGTTTTGTGTCGCTCAACGTCGCCCCTGATGCGAGGTGCTGGGCAACAGGAATGCTATACGCAATTGACACCCACATCGGACGCTAGGGTCGTGGGCTTTTCGAGTACATAGCTGATGCAAGGTGCTTCCGATGGGGTCCGATCCGCTACAGTGCCACAAACAACTAACGACCAAAATGGGTGCAAAGGTTTTTACGGCTAGGTAGCGGGGCTACGTCGAGAGTGCGTACTGCTTTGTCCACACGTGTTCTCACCTGATTCGTGATTTACTTAACAGGTGCACACGCAAAATCATCATAGTGACAACTACAATCGGAAGGAAACTGTGTGTATCTGCTGTAGCCTCTAAGAGTGCGTAGAATCTGTCAAAACCCACGCAACATGATACGGAGAGGTATAGAGAGGAAAAGCAAGCAGAGATACTGTCAGCTCTGACAGACTCGACAGTAAGTCTGGTATGCAGCTGTACTAACTCATCGTGCTCAATAATTCAACAACAACATCCAACGGAGAGGAGCCTAGGGAGTAGTAGAACGAGCAGTATACACACGCACCACGAACGCAACAAAAAGACTTCCGTCGTGTGTACAACAGATGGCTCTACACCATCATGTGCTTGACACAACGCCACTTAAGTAGTTCTTGATAGGCACCACTAGAACTACGAGGAAGGACACGTGTTATCGCAGAGCCATTCTCTTT